AGAAAATGTATACGTTAGAGCGTATCTCAGGAGGCCTATTCAAATGAGCAATATCCTTGCCAGCCTGTTGCTTACTGTCGGACAGCCTTCCTCCTGGTGAGTGGCTGAGATAACAGTGCAGCATTTTGACAAGCTACCCCCCTGGTGTCAGGGGCTGGCTGTGGGCGGATGCCCTCTCTCCCTCACACTTTACTAAAAAGTGTGTCAACTCTGAATTTCTTCAAGGGAAAAAACTGAGATACGGTCAGCTTTGCTTGGGGGGAAAATGGGGACCAGGGGGAGAAATAGCATCTGAAAAACCCTACTGGCCTGTAGTCACGCCACTGCTGCCCGGGAGAGGTGACCAATCCTCGCTGTATGAGCCTGCACTGCAAACCAAACGGACAGAGGACAAAGAGAAGCTTCCAGAAGTGAAGTAAACTAAGAAAATGTATATGTTAGAGTGTATCTCAGGGGCTGGCTGTGGGCGGATGCCCTCTCTCCCTCAACCCTGAGAAGTCAATTAAGAACGAGGCTTCCTCTGTGGAAGGAGGCTTGGCTTGGGTGGTGAACACACAATACATACACAGGTGATGTATCATACAATTGCACACCTGAAACCTATATAATTTTATTAACCAATGTCACCCCAATAAATCCAATTTTAAAAAGAAAGAAAAAAAGAAGTAGGCTAACTGCCCACAGAATGGTAATACTTAGTCTTTTTAGAAATCAACAGGGTTTGGAAGAAGATCTGAGTGTGACCCCTGAATCTTCTACTGGACCAGTCACGCAGATGCCCACCTTTTAAGATGGGAATAGCGCCCTGCCCAGGTAGTTGGTTAGAGCGTCATCCCGATACATCAGGTTGGCAGTTCGATCCTCAGTCAGGGCACATACAAGTATCAACCAATGAATGCAAAAATAAGTGAAAAAGTGAAACAACAAATCATTCTCTCCCTCTCTCTCTCTCTTCCTCTTTCTAAATCAATAAATAAAAATTTAAACAATAACAGCCCCTAGTTTATATCATCACTGAGTGGCTTAAATGAGCCTGTATTTGCAAAATGCTCAGTACAGTGACTTCCATGTAGTAAGGACTCAGTAAATACTAGTGATTGTTGTCAGTGGTGGATACCCCTGCAAGAGCAGTTTCTCAATCAAATAACTGGACCTGATAGCTCTCTGTGTGGAGGACTGTCGGTGAGTGAGGGTTTAGCAGCATCTCTGGCCCCTCTGCCCACCAAGTGCCCCTGCCAGAGTTGTGACAGGCACAAATGTCTCCAGACCTTGTCGACTGTCCCTGGGAGCCAGCCCCCCGATGAGAACCAGTGTTCTGTACCTCAGCACCACGCTGAGTGATGCTGCTAACTGCAGTCGGTCACTTCACCCACTTGCGTTGAGCAATTATTAAAAGTTGTATTGGACACGTTGTCAGTGTTTTTTTTAAACCTCACATCCATTCCCCTCAGATGGCATCAGTACCCCTTCCTGACCTGGGAGGACCACCCCATTCAATTCACACCCTGTGGGCTTTGCATACAGTGCTCAGTGCGGTGCCTGACACGTTGTGAATGTAATGGTCAGCATAGGGCAGGAATACCAGTATCTCTTCAATAGGCTGATGGTGTGCGGTCAACCCACAGCTCCTAGCAGCCACCAGGTGGAGCCAGAGGGAAGCCATCCTAGAAGAAACAGGGCTGAGAGATGACACCTAGGGTGGTCATTGACCCTGAATGCAGCCAAGCCTGAAGCCATCCCTACTCCCTGAGCTTTGGGCTATGCAAGCCAATGAATTTCTTTCCTGCTCTTGTCAGTTTGGGTTGATACAACTGCCTACTCGGTGCCGGCCTTAAGACACGTGTTTGTAGCTTTACCAATCTCCATGGCGATCTTGTGAATATGTGTTATATTATACCCATGTCCCAAGTGGCCAATGGAAGCTCAGGAAGTTAGATGACTCATTCCAGTTCCCACAGCCAGTATGCGGTAGAATTATAATTTAATTCGTTTTGTCCGACTCCCAGTCCAGTTTATCACACGTGCCCACGGTCCTTCTTGGTGGGTGGAATGGGGCCACTGTACAGGATGAACACTCAGCTCCATCCACAGAGGCTGACGAGGAGCAGAAGTCTGCCCAAGGCCATTCCCTGTGCTCCCAGCAGACATAGTGTAAAGTCTTAGAGGAAGCATGTTGGGCATGTGAAAACGACTCGCCTCGAGGGACTTAACTCCTCTTCATTTAGTGCAGGGAGACAGGGAGGAAATTATGTTACTTAACATGAAACTGCCTTGTTTAGAACACATCCAAAAATAGCCAAGGAAAAAATTATCTTCACTAATAAAGCAAGGCAGATATGAAACCTTCACGCTTGGGGGGACCAGGGATGATCTCATTATCCAGAGCATCTTGGACTATAAAAATTCATCTTCATTTGAGTTTCAGTCAAAATATAAAACAGTAATAGTACCTTGTGCTTAACACTCTCTGCATCCTGCAAAGCCAGTCCTACTCCCAGGGGAATCGTAATAAAATATCAGAGCTGCTACTTAGAAAAGCCCAGCACCTTCTAGGCCATCTGCATGCACCTCTGCTTTCACCCTGCAAGGAAGTTACTCCTTGGATAAACTTACAGGGGAAGGTGAACTCTCTGCCCAAGGTCAACAGCTCATAAAGACCAGAGATTAGCATCCAGGTCTCTCTGACTCCTGAGCCAGGGTCCCTTAATAACACCACACTGGCTGAGAAGTGAGTAAGATCCCAAGAACACAATCCCAATACTTGTCCTTCATCTCTCGTTTGCACAGCCTCGCCAGCATGGCATGAATAAGAATGCTGCTCAAGATCACAAGCATCCGAAACCCCTGCACTATATGAGACTCAAGACTCCGTGGAAGGGGTTGTGGGTATTATCACCACCTACGTGCTGGAGTTCCTGGAGGAAATACCCAAAAGGTCAGACCATAATGAAACCAAGGACATAGGGTAAAACTCTTTCATTTTCCAAGAGAGCGCTTCATAGCTTTCCATTAAAGGTCACTGGGTAATTGTGAAATGTATGTCTCCAATACATCCACACTTGTACCCACCACTTCTTCCACCTGAACTATTTCAGTATCTCACCACTTCTTCACCTGTGCCCTGCATCCTGTTGTTTACGAAAGAGGAACACGATTTCACACACACACACACACACACACACACACCTGCTTAAAAACAGCTCTGGTTTCTGCACGACTTAGAAGAAATATAAGTCTTTAGAATAATCTTAGAACCTTAGAAATTCAACCAGATTTCAATCTGAATAAATTAACAGTGAGGAAGGTATGAGGAGTAGTAAAACCTAGAACATTAAGATAATTTCAAAAAGAAGTTTCAAATACTCACGAGATACTATGAAAGTTTGCTAAGGTTTCAAAAGCTTCAGAAATTATGATAAAAAGCCATACACTTTTCCTATTCCTGTTTCCTACAGACAGTGAATCAAAGAACAGCTGAGACATATTCGTGTTAGAATCAGTGCTGCCCGAGATGGGCCCCAAATGTCCCAATGGATGCAGAATTCTCCCGTGCGCCAATGTAAGTAACAGCGGGGAGGGTATGGGCTTATGGCCAATAGCAACGTCTATAATAAAATATGTTACACCTTGATTTCACTGGTTAGGATGAGTACATAGGTAACATCTGAGACCCAAACAGGAAAATACACCCACCTTCCCAAACAAATTCTTAATTTCCTATATAGAGGTTTTCCCATGAGGAAATTCTGGCAAAGGAAGAACATTGCTCTGAAGATTAAAGTTTTATTTTCTAAGGTGAGGACCTTAGAAAACTGGGAGACTCACTAGCTTGTTTATAGCATTTCAATACCGTAGGTGAAATTGTACTCCACCTGACAGGCCCTTTCAGAACCTGAAAATAAATGGACCGAGAAGAGCAGTATGGGAGAGAGGGATCTTACAACTTTCTAGAATGGTTGTAAGAGCACCGAATTGATCCTATTTCTGAAAAGCAATTTTTAAATACTTGGGCTTTGTTTGGAATGAATTAACAGAGCAACTTGAGCGGAGCATTACTGTCACAGACTCGGGTGGATCAGGGTCTCGGGTGGTCAGAAATCCTGTGTTTACTCTCCTTATCTCAAATATATCTCTGTCCACTCTGACACATACTTTTTGATGTTGTTGTTTGTTTTTAGTTACTTTTGTGTGTTTTATTTTGTCTCCCTTTTTATTTTATTTATTTTTGACACAATTTTTTTTAAGTCATAAGCTGTTTCCAACTTTAATGCAATGCCAGGCCATATTCAGAAGGACTTGTGTTTCTTAAAATTCAGTCATTCACAATTCTAACTTGTAAAACTGCATGCAGTGTTTCAAAAATAGAGCCTACATTTGATGGAGGAAGGGCGGGGAGAAGGAAAGGAACACTGATGAGACTGATCTCTTTGTAGCTAATGATCAACCCAAACGCTAGGGCGCCATGATCTCTCTCCCGGATGAACTTGCAACAGGGAAAGCGGGAGAGAGCTCCTGGGTATTGCAAGGGGCACGTTTTAGAATCAGCCTCCGCCAGGACCAGTGCCCTGCACTGCGCTGCGAGCAGAGCAGGTGGAACTCACCAGCTGCAGCTTCAAAAGGTGCCCGCCCCTCGCCTGGCTAAGGGGCCGGTCAGCTCAGAGGAGGAAACATAAATAGAATAACAACAGGGCGGTTTTCCAGATCCAAGGAGCTGGCCCTTGTTCAGCGTGACCAGTGAAGGACACATGTGGACCTAGTTCAACTTCAGGCTGTGGTACGAAGTCCAACTGTGCAATGAAAATTCATATCATATTCATAGAACATAGAATTGTCCGTGGAAAAGAAGCCATGTTTAATATATGAGAGTTTTGCCGCACACCCCCGACGGGTACGGTCTATGCAGTCCCTAAGGGGTGGTGCAAGGTGGGTCTCATACGTAACTCAGGCCTCGGAGGACGTGCACCTGGGGAAAAACATGGAAAAGCAATGAGCGCACTCACCTCCCTGCCTCAAAAGTGAACCAAGCAGCATCCCGCCCGTACCGCCGCAGGGCGCTTAGCGGCCAAGAGATGAGTTTGACTCTGGGATTCTGGACGTCCCAAAGGCAGATGTGCTCATATGTAATCTGCAAGGCACATTCGCCATGTACATCTAAGTTAGGAGATGGCATCAAATACACATTGAATCTCTCTGGGAGAAAAACAAAAGGTTAGTCTAAAATCCCCAGGAATAAAACAGCAAAGACATTGTAGGAACAAAGAGGCATTTCAACATCATTCAGGCTCACTGTCTAGCTTTTGACTGAATACTCAGGGAGATAAATCTTTCTCATCCATTAACAGTCCCAGAAAATGATTTTCAAAATGAAGACCATGTTCAATCACATAATAATGATACAATCCGGCTGACAACATACACTAAACACTATTTAAATGAGCAAAGAGCGTTTTTTTTTTATTTTTTAATTTGCATAATAAAAAAATGTGTAGGCCAATAAAAGACCAAAGTGATGAAACCATTAAAAACATTTTTCCCTGCCAAGCACATATTCATTACGCCCACACTTTTGTGTTCACAAAAGATGCAGGTGCGAAATAACTGTCGACTTATCATTTTCCTAACTAGAATAAAACGGTATCCCAAACTGTTTGAATAAAACTCAACACGAACACCATGCACTTCACAGACCAGGAGTTTGGGAAGATGTCAATGGCTATATCTGAACTAGTTTTAACAGTGAGCTGTATTCAGCCAAATACTGGAAAGAAATATTCATTTGCTTGCTGGGATGACTATAAAAATTTAAGATTACTTTAACTACAGCTCTTGACTTATTACTGCCACCAAATTTTCATCTCTACAGGCACAATCATGGTATTTCTATTATATTTTAGAAAATTCGTTAATTTAAGAATTTACTGAGTCAAAAATCTTTAAGTGAAATCTGAACAGCTCTATAGCAAATACATTTTCACCTACTCATCACTGTTGATTGCGTACATCTGACAAAACAGAGTGGCACTAATAATACTGATGCCATTCTAAGTTAATTATTTTATAGTAAAGATGTCATTAGGATTTTCATATATTTTAGTTGAATTTAGTAAGTAGGAGTGTCAAGACTGTGAAATGTATTAATGCATCGTTTATTGAAGTTTTCTTATTTCAAACTCCCTCTAACCAAATATTTGCTGGAACAAGTAAGCAAGACTGTCATCATTGAGTAGAAAGTTAGAGAGACCATCACCAGTGTATTTGCTTAAAGGTCCTTTATAACTACCTTGCTTGAGAATGACAACAGCAAATATTGGTGAGAGGGACCATTTCTATCACAATTCCTTGCAATCATGCAGATTAATATTGTAAAGTGCCTTAAAAGACCTAGCTGTTTCATAATCACTCCTAGTACTTATCTACCAGAGAAAGTATTCTCATTCCCATTTGATAGAAGAGGAAACTAAGGCATGGACATTGGTACAGGGAAGGTCACTCCCAGCTACAGCCCACTCTTGCATTCAGCCCGTAGCGCCATCAGGATGCAGCCTCACAAATATAATGTGTGAGAAATAAGCGCTGACCGGAGCACCCTGAATTTCACACAACCACAGCCTGTCATGCTTCCTCTCTGTGTTTGGGTCCACGTGCACCTGCCTGTGAGGCGCGGCGGGTGGGGCCTCACAGCCCGGACGTATCCTGACTTAGTGACCACAGAAGGAGCCTGGGCCTGCTGCATGGCCCTGGCACGTGACCACTCTCTGCAGCTCAGCTTCCTAGTCTATGAGAGGTGCCTTGGAATTGGCCAGCACTCCCAGGTACCCAGGAATAATGCTTCCACTGGGGAGGATTATGGCAGATACAGTGCCTCCCAAGTAGTCCCAGGCTGTGACTGTGTCCTGAAGACATAGTCCCCGTTGGAAGGGAGGGCATTTTTTACGGACAGTGGAGTGTGCGCCCACAGAAGGGGTCAGCCCCATTCCGCCTCTGCCCTGTGCCTGGTTGAGCCAGGTGACCCACGGCCTCTGGGTTGTAACATAGCCTCATAGCTCAATGCAATGGGCTAACGCAGAGCTCTGGGACCCAATCTGCCTGTCACAGGCTCAGCCATTTGGAGACAAAGAAATGATTCTCACCTCCAGGCTTGCACTGTAAACCAACATCGATTTTTTTTTTGCTGAAGTGTCATGGATATTTTGGTCATTATTACTTGTAATGATTTATTCCTAGGTTGAATGTTGAGCTCAAAGAGGGCTCAAGTGTTTCCGTAGAAAGGAAAAAAAATCACATATTTAGGTGGGTTTAAACTTGACGAAGTATTTGTAAAGTTCAAGTTCTATTAAAAAACATTGGAAGGCTTTCAATAAAAGTGAAAAAGGCAAGGCACAAATCCATGTCACTGTTTGCCTGGACATTCTAAATACAGGACCAAAAATAGTCTGGAATCAAACACTAGCTATTGGAACTGGAGCAAGATCTTTAGCTCTTCAAAGCTTCAGTTTCCTCACCTATAAAATGGGAAATTAATAGGACCTATGTCATAGGGCTGCCTGGAAAACCAAATAATCGAATCCGCCTTCCACAGAAACAGGCACAAAGCAGGCTCCTCCCAATTGCTAGCTGATGTTATTAATGTAGATATATTCATCAAAAACATATTAAGAAAAGAAATGCACTAACATATTAACACAGGTTTTAGGTGAAATAAAAGGTTATTTTGCTTCTATATACATTTTTTATAATTCTAACAAGTTTACATAATGAAGATATGTTATGTTTTATTACACGGGGACAAAACAGTTTTACAAAAGAGCAAAGCAGAGAATGTTCTGTACGTACCACTCTGCTCTCTCTCAACCCCAGTCGCCAACAGGTCGGGCTCCCCGAGGCTGATGTCGTTGATCCGCGTCCCCACGCACTCCATCTGGAGCACCTTGCACCACTCATCAGCCTCGAGATCTGCGGGAATGCCCAAGAGGAACCGTGAGCCCAGCGCCCGCTGACCAGCTGGAAGCAGCCCGCCCTGCTGCACCAACCTGATTCACAAGCAAAGGTCTTGGAGGTGTCGTCAGTGAAATAAATCCCGATGGCGTGCTTCTTGGTGCTCTTGGGCAATCGAGCTACGTTCTTCACATTGTTGAGTTCTGTCACCTGGAAAATGGACAATCACAAGTTGGATCACACTCCTCAAACGGTGCCTCCCATCAACAACCCCCAACCAAGGGCAGACACAGGGAGGAGCATGAACACAGCTTGATGATGTCATCAAAGCTCAGACTCACTCCAGTGTCATCCTTAGCACAGAGCAAGGAAGGTGAACATGTTACCTTCATTTTCTAAATGTTCTGAGGTATGTTATGTGGCAAGACTCTCCTTCCTAGAGGTAGGAAGCTAGTTTTAGTTTTTTTTATACTAGTACCCCCCAAAGACTCCACCTTCTCCACAGTTCTCATGTCCATCTCCATCACTGGGGACAGCTACTCCTAGTGGAAACGTCTTAAACCCAGGGAGCCCAGGAAGGAGAAGGAAAGCTGGTCCAGGGCATACTGAATGATCCCACTCTTCGCCATCCAGAGATGGAGTGTCAGGACTCCCAAAACACCCTCCACTCAGGTTCAAGTCCTCTGTCCAGCACAGAAAGCTGGTCTGTGAAACGTTTCCACTCTTTCTGACCTCCTGGCTTCTCTCTCTGACCTCCTAGCTTCTTCCTCTGACCTCCTAGCTTCTCCCTCTGACCTCCTAGCTTCTCTCTCTGAACACCTAAATTGTCCCTCTGACCCCGGAGCTTCTCTGTCTGGCCTCCCAGCTTCTCCCTCTGAACTGCTACCTTATCCCTCTGAACTTCTAGCTTCTCCCTCTGACCTCCTAGCTTCTCTCTCTGAACACCTAAATTGTCCCTCTGACCCCAGAGCTTCTCTGTCTGGCCTCCCAGCTTCTCTCTCTGAACTAGCTTCTCCCTCTGAACTTCTAGCTTCTCCCTCTGAACTAGCTTCTCTCTCTGACCTCCTAGCTTCTCCCTCTGAACTCTTAGCTTCTCCCTCTGACCTTCTAGCTTCTCGGTGACCATGGAAACTCTGAGAGCTGGGAACACTGCACTGGTATCCCCTGGCTGCTGTCAGCAGAGAAAGCTCTCCAGTTGCACACTCTCTCTCCTGCCTCTCCCCCATGATTCCTCCTCCCTTTAACACATTTGTAAGCCCCTCCCCTTATTGTGTTTCCAAATGATCCTAGCTTCTCCCTCTGACCTTCTAGCTTCTCAGTGACCATGGAAACTCTGAGAGCTGGGAACACTGCACTGGTATCCCCTGGCTGCTGTCAGCAGAGAAAGCTCTCCAGTTGCACACTCTCTCTCCTGCCTCTCCCCCATGATTCCTCCTCCCTTTAACACATTTGTAAGCCCCTCCCCTTATTGTGTTTCCAAATGGCTGTCCCTGCTGGGATCTGTCCAGGCCTCCTGCTGCCTTCCAGGGGTGTGAGCATTGGGCCCATCTGAGAGGAGGTTTACATGGCTTCAGGGTGGAGTATTTACAAGATAAACAACTCTTCCCCACTGACAAGGGTAACCCGCTTCCTTTACCTCCTTTGTGTTACGCAAAAGAATGTGCTCGCATCGACCTTGCCTTCAGTCCTGTGCACCATTTCTCCCACCTGTTACTCAAAATTCAATAAGTGTCTGGCTCACGAAGTAGGTGAGGAGAGAAAGAAATACCCCCATGAGCGTGCTAATCTGATGTCATTCCTCTGCTTCTGTGCCTTCACTGGCTCTCTCTATAGTATAAATGCAGATGTCTTCATATCAAATATCATAAAGGTTGCTATGGACCAAATGTTTGTGCCTCCCCATGATTCTTATGTCAAATCCTCCCCTCCCTACCTCACCCTGCCAAGGTGCTGGTCTTAGGAGGTGGGGCCTTTGGGAAGTGCTTAGGTCTTGAGGGCAAAGGCCTCATGAATGGGGTTAGTGCCTTTATAAACCAGACCCCAGAGTGCTCCCTGGTCCCTTCAGAAAGCGAGTTCTCGCCAGAGAGTGTATCTGGCAGAGCCTGGACCTTGCACTTCCCAGCCTCCAGAGCTGTGAGAAAGACACGTCTGTGCTGACAAGCCCCCGGTGCATGGCGTTCTGTCACAGCAGCCCAAACCAAGGAGGACACAAGCGTCCCCCAAAGTCCGCCAGACCAGTCTTTTCAGTGGCTTGACACTACCTGTCTTATTTTCCATTGACACCAGGTCGTTTAGAGTTTACCAGATGGAACTGCTTCTATTTGTTTTTTTCTTGAGCCCCTGCCCCACTACAAGCCACTACCATCCTCCCCAACTACTTGTCGGTCTCTCCACTCCCATTGTAACCTCATTAATTCACTGTGAACACAGCATCTGGATGGTCTTTTCAAAATACAAGTCCGATTCAAGCATTTCTGTGCATAGAACACTTCAATGACTTCCCATGGCACATGGGACAAAGGCCCAAATCCTCCGAATGACCAAGACCCTCTGTGACCTCCCTCATAGTTATCTCCCCAGCCTCCTCTCTGACATCTTCCCCATGTGTCCTTGTCCCAGCCACACTAGTCTCTCTTTAGTTCTGAGAAGAGACCTGATTCTCGTGGCAGAGCCTTCCCCACTCTGTCCTAACTTTGCTCCCATTCATCCTTAACTCTCAGTTACCTGCAGAGCCCTAAAGGACAACCCCACCCCATTCCCATCCCATCAGAGTCGCAGGACTCTACCATCCAATGACATCTTTGTCCTCACGCCCTCTGATGGCCACATGGGTGATGGTTTAGTGCCTGGCTTGCCTGTGGAGGGTCGGGACAGCATGTATCTGCTCACCACTATGTCCCCTGAATCTAACACAGAGCCTGCCACACAGTGGAAACTCTGTCAGCACACGTGGACTTGAACAAAAGGACAAGCCCACCCACAGGTGCCTCTCCAGAGCGGATGCCCCCTCTCCGGCCTCTTCTCTCCAGGGAAATGTTACTTCTCCGCTTCCCCTGGGAAACCTGCCCTGACCTTAGTGGGAATTATTGCTCCCCTCTTGCTGCTCCCATGCACACTGCATGAAGCTGTATCTGTTACTCCAGCTCCCAGCTAGACACCAGTCACCTATCAATGACTTCCTGATGGACTCCATCAATGAAGAACAGTCACTTGAGAGTCAACATTTATAAAGCCTGGCACTGTGCTTAGACTATTCTTGCATGGGATGTCTCCCTTTATTGTCACCAAAATCCTATGAGGCAGCTATTATTCTCAGTATTTTCAAAATCAAGAAACTGCAGCTGAGAAAGGTCAAAGTCATGTGCCCAAGCTCACAGCTAAGAACCCAAGTTTGGAATGAGGCAAACCACCCCTGAACCCTGTGCTCCTCAGCTGCCTGGATGGATGCTAATGACTAGCTCTAAAGCTGAAGCACAGAATCCATCTCCTCCTGGAGGGCCTCTTTCTTTTCCCAGGGCACAGGGATAAGTGTGAGGTGAATGCCCCAGGCTGTGTTCTGACCCGCCACTGAGTCATTATAAAAGAGCAGTCTACCTTGGCCTGAAACACAGCAACGACTCTGACATGTGTCGTTTCATTACACACGCAGTAAGGGCAAAGAGGAAGAAATAAGTCACCCAAAGAGTCAGGAAATGCAGGGAGAACTGCATGAGTCAAAACACAATTACCCATTCTGGAAACGGTTTTAGATAATAACCACCCAACACCCCCGCTCAGGGGACGTGAGTGAGTGTTCGCAGACCTGACAGGGTTCCATTTCATTTGTGGAGGGCTATTCAAGTCCTAAAGCAGCAGCTCTGTCCCTAAATCAGAGCTACATCTCAGTGAGTATGTGCATGCACAAACCCACCACCCCACCTACACACACACACACACACACACACACACACACACACCCCAGACCTGTCTGCTCTCTCTCTATGAGTCTCTCTATTTTGCTCAATAGTTCAGTTTGTTCATTAAATTACCGCAACCCATGTATCTTCCTCAAAATACATGGTAAAGTGATAATTACGAGAAATAACATTTGCAGATATATTTATCCCACATAAAACTTTTATAAGATATATTTAATGCCACTGTCACTCCATTTTGTAAAGGAGAAAACCAAGACAGGACTTATTTTTTTAAATATTCCTTTAACAAAAAAAAATTTGCTCCTAAAGAATCACTTTTAAAGCAAACACAGATTTTGATAGGGTCTCAGGGTCTCATTGAATATGGCTCCTCCATGGACTAGCGGATCCTCATTGCTACCTCCAAGAGGAGGAGCACCCAGGACCAGAGACATGCACAGTAACTCAACTCACCGGCGATTTGAAGTTCTTGTCTTTTCCTTATGTCTCAGATCAACCAGAAGTTATTTCCTGCCAAACTCAAAACTTGTTAGGAAAACTCCCCGTTGAGCCTCTGCAGTTATAGGTTTTTATGTTGTTGTTTTTAAAAATATATTTTATTGATTTTTACAGAGAGGAAGGGAGAGGAATAGAGAGTCAGAAACATCAATGAGAGAGAAGCATTGATCACCTGCCTCTTGCATACCCCCTACTGGGGATGTGCCCGCAACCAAGGTACATGCCCTTGACTGGAATCGAATCTGGGACCCTTCAGTCCGCAGGCCGATGCTCTATCCACTGAGCCAAACCGGTTAGGGCTGTAGTTATAGTTTTAATTTTCGCTCACAGCACAAGAGCAAGACACACCATAAGCTCTACCTGTAGTATGATGTCTGTCATACAGATTCACAACTAAAACGTAACAGCATCTAACCACCACTGTTTAGGACACATCCCCTCAAGAATCTCCTTGCATTCATTCATTCATTCATTCATTCATCATAAATGTAAATCCATGGTTAAAAAATAAAAACAACAACAATCCAATGGGCCTAATTGTCATGGCCTCCCCCAAAGCAACTCTCATTTGCTTGGCACAAGCATGACACTAGATTTCAATAGAAACTTGGTAATGATTTGGTTCCCACGTGATGTCCCAAAGGTCACTTCTGCACAGAGCCATTTGCTTGTTGTTTCTTTTCTTGTGCGTTTGTTTGATTTTTTTTTTTTGCCTTTTTTGTCCATTTCACAAATGCATTTTCTAAGAAAGGCAATAAAGACAAATTTCAAGCCTCATGACCAAAATCTAAAATG